CACTGTCATTGGTTGGGCCTGTGCTATTTTCCTGGTGCTGTGCCAGGTGCTGCCTTTGTCTTATAAGGACCCTTGTGATTACACCAGGCCCACCCAGATAAGCTAAGATAATCTCCCCACCACAAGATCCTTAACTTAATCACATCTGTAAAGTCCCTTTTGCCATATAAGGTAACATACTGACAGGTTCTGGGGATTAGGATGTGGATATCTTTGGGGAGCTTTTATTCAGTCTACCACAGTGGGCTTACCCTTGGACTTCATTTATTAAAGGACCAGGGAGCCCTCTTCAAGTCTGAGCCCATAAGAGACACTCTCTTCTGGGTATCATGTGGGGTACCAATGAATTCTTAAGGTGAAAAGTGCCACTGTCTGATCACTGTCACCAACAAGCAACATTTAGGCACAGACCTCACAAAACCCAATTCCTGTTGCCAGCAACTGACATTCACAAGGGTTTAGGCAGGCAAAGCTTATGTTCAAACCAGTCAGTGACACTGTCCCAAGATGATGTCCAAGTGAAATAACATCAGGACAGACACCTAGCGGTTACTGGCACATAGTCAGTGCTCAATAAAAGTCAGGAGTTTGGAGGATTTCTCATAATCTACTCTAATCAATGAGTTGAGTTCAGGCAGGTTTGCCAGGCCAGATCCAGTCATGCCACAATAATCAAGCATGCCGATGTCCTGGGCTACTTGCAAATCAAGTCGAGAGGCTCAAGGCCACTTGAGCACTATCGATCTTGATAGCATCAGCTCCATGGACAAGAATAATCCATTAATGTGCTGGGGCTTAGCCATCGTTTGGCACTGAACCACGAGAGGAAGTTGCTCCTGCATTTCCTCCTGCCCTTCCCAGCTATGTCTTATAAGTTGCTGTCCCTTTAACCACAGGTTGTCCAGAGAAACGACAGCTCTCCTCCCAGGGGATTATGATCCTCCCAACTGTGCACCAGAGACTCAGGGCTACAATGACATAGATGCCGCCAAAAGAAAAGAAAGAAGGAACCAATTTTCTGGCAGATACAGAGCTGAGTCTTTGTGAAGGAGCTGAAGGCCTTTCTGGATCAATAATACCATTTTCTGGTAAGAAAAAATGCATGTGGTAACATGGAAGTAACTCTAGTAAATGAGAAGTCATGAAAGTGTATTTAAATCTATAGAACAGCAGTAAGAGAAGAGTCACATTGTCTTGCCATAATTGGATAACTGCAGACCCAACCCCGGATAGGAAAATGGACTTTTTTCCTTTGACAGGAAAATGGACTGTTCTCCTACTTTTGGAGGTTGGTAGAAATATAGCAAAAATCTGTGATAGTATTTCCTTGCATTGGCTTGGGAGACAACAAATGTGGGCTGGATATTTGTGCTGCTTGCTAGATGAATGGCCTTGGTAAACTGCTCACCTCTCAGTGCCTCAGTCACCTAATGTATAAAATAAAATACCTGCCTCCTATGGCTATTGAGAGAATTAAATGAGATATTGCAATGGAAATACTTAACGCAGTGCTGAGTGCACACCAGTTGCTCAAACATCTTTCCACTGTTAAGATTTCCCTTAACCCTCGGGAAATCACTAAGACTTCAGATTTGACCCTGGAATCATATGAACTTCCCACAGAAGCCCAAGTCAGGAAATGACACTGTTCAAATGCAAAATGGTGGCTCTTCAGTTTCCAACTCTCCTTAAAGCCCTATCCATACAAATCTATTCAGAAAATAAAAAGCAGACCAAAGAAATAGAAAGAAGGAATGTTACTGGCAAAAAAATGTTAAAGTTTAATTGAAAAATCCTACTCTACGATAGCTTGATTTGTATTTTATTACTAAGGATTGTGTTTGCATATGCAAGACCTATTTCACCTTATGCACGTAAGATGGGAAATGCTAAAATGTATATTCAGATCAGATCTGTTTATGATATTTAGTTTTAGATTTGTTGATATGTTAATTTGATGATTTATTAATGTATGGAAAATTTGTGTATGGAGATGTGGGAAATAAGAACAATTCGTGAAAAATCATCATTTTTTTCAATATGGATGAAAAGATGGAGAGGAGATTTGCATTAGAAACTATCTGCTATTCTCCTTAGGAAGGAAGAATGTTCCAGGTGTCCCATGTCTTGAGAGTTTTTCCAATTCATCATTAAACTAGGACCAAGAAAGTTCAAAATGATGGAAATGAAGGCTAGAAATGCTTCAGACTGATGGGGGCTCAGGTCAGCCCTGAAAGCCTAGAGGACAGTGACAGGGTATTAAAAGAGGCAGAAATAAGACAAGCCACCAAGATGTTGGTGGCTCCAATCCAATAGTTTTCTGGGTTTTTTTGTTTGTTTGTTTATGTGGAGAAGATCAGCCCTGAGCTAACATCCGATGCCAATTCTCTTTTTGCTGAGGGAGATTGGCCCTGGGCTAACATCTATGCCCATCTTCCTCTACTTTTATATAGGATGCCGCCACAGCATGGCTTGACAAGCGGTGCGTCAGTGCACACCCGGGGTCCAAACCTGCAAACCCCAGGCCGTCAAAGGCCGCCAAAGCAGAGCATGTGAGCTTAACCGCTGCGCCACCAGGCTGGCCCCTAGTTTTCTAACTTTTTTATATGTCAAGCAGCTAAAGTCTTCTGCCAGAAACAGTTTTGATATTTGATTTTTTTTTGTTTTCTTTGTTTTTTTTTTGGTGAGGAAGATTAGCCCTAAGCTAACATCTGTTGCCAATCCTCCTCTTTTTGCTGAGGAAGATTGGCCCTGGGCTAACATCCGTGCCTATCTTCCTCCACTTTATATGTGGGACGCCTGCCACAGCGTGGCTTGATAAGCAGTGCGTAGGTCTGCACCCAGGGTCCGAACCTGTGAACTCCGGGGTGCTGAAGCAGAGCGCGTGAACTTAACCACTACGCCACCGGGCCAGCCCTGAGGTTTGATTTTTAATGCATAGCACTTATTACATCCTGGCCACATACCAGGCACTGTGCTAAGGTGCTCACTTAAACCCCAAACTAGCCAGTGAAGGAGGTATTATCATTACTCTCATTGCACAGATGAAATGAGACTTGGAGATGTTAAGCAACTTGGCAAAGTTCATCCAGAGAGGCAATTGTGGGTGCAAATGTGCATGTGGTATGTGTGTTTAGGAGAGGGATGGGGTCTCACATTCAGCGGAATGATAAATCATCAGCATGGCCCCAACAACTTCCTCTCTCCCCCCTCTTCTTTAATCTTGATTCCTCCACCACACTTCCAGAAAATTGCCCAGGTAAGGCTTGATCCCTGTTTTTTCTACCTTGAAGTAATGGAGAGTTTCATACCAATGACACTGGCAGAAATAGCTTATTCCTGGGCTACAGTAAACTGCATTCACACCAAATGGGCCTCTCAGTTCTCCAGCACTCTGAGCAGCAAAGACGACTTGGCAACAATGAGGGAATGGTACACCCTGCACCCTTTGTTCTATTGTTTATGTTATCACCATGCTGCAGACTCGAGCACTCTTTGCACCTGCAGATTTTTCCACTCCATGCAAGGCAACTAAGTAGGACTGAAGGGCAAAAGGGTGAAGGTATTCACCATCAACAAGAAACATTTATTGGAGAAGGCAGCACAAAGGAGACTGAACAGCAGAGAGGTTGAGTAGGCAAGCTCTCAAGTCAGACCATATAGGTTCAAGCCTTGCCTCTGTGACCAGGAGATGGATGACCTCGGGCAAGTTACTTAAGCCTACACAGGTCTCACTTTCCCCATCTGTAAAATGGAGATAATGATAGCACCAGCCTCACAAGCTTGTCACAAATGCTGAATGATATTAGGAGTGCATAGTGCCTGGTCTACAGCAAGCACTTAACAAACATTGGCTTTTATTACTGAAGATAGCTCTATGAGTCATGTTAAGTGCTAAGGACGCAATACATAGCCTCTACCCACACCATCTAGGCAGGTTAGGGAGATAGGATACATATATTAAAAATAATAATTAATAATATAAGGTAGAAAATTGTTACAGGAGTAGTACAGAGACATATTATGGAAATTCAAAGGAAGAAATAACAATATTAGAAAAAAAAAATGCTGGATTACAGATGGCAGTCCAGAAACGGAAGGTGACTATATCAATGTCACAAAGCTAGTTTTGAAAAGATTTGGGAGTAAAGTCAAGGTCTCCTAATTCATAGCGTAAAACTGTTTCGGGAAACTATGCCACAATAGCACTAATGAAAATCATCTTAACAATAGCATTAGTTAACACTTTGAAGATACTTTTTATGTGCCAGGCATTTACGCATGTTATCTTATTAAATCCTCATAATAACCCTAGGAGAGAGGTATTACATTTTCCCCCATTTTACAGATGAGAAAATTGAGGTACAGGGAGGCTAAGTAATTTCCCCAAAGTCCGACAGCCAGAAAGTGGCTGAACCAGGACTTAAATGAAGGTTTCTAACCAGTTATAATGGAGGACTGAAAGGGAGAGGAAGGCAGGGTAGCCAGAAGCAAGGGGAATGACAGACTAAATTTTAGTGGTAGAAATGGACATTCATGAAAAGTGAGTAGACTGCTTTTACTGGAAGAGGAAATTCAAGTAGAGGAGTTAGAAAATACAGTTAGAACAGAGTTTGAGGCAGACAGAGAGGGGCTTGAATGTCAATCCAGGCAGCAAATATTCTCTTTGTCTATTGTTTGGTTGGGGGAAAGGTAGGGACAGAAGATGGGAGCTTGACGATTCTATAGTTGTGCATTTTGTTTTTAAGACTAATCTGGTCACAGACAGAATGAAGGAGACCCCAGTGGCAGAGAGACTGGTCAGTGGCTAACTGCCACAGTTCTGAAGAAGGATAGGGTGTTTTTCAGGTGATCCCCAACTTCCTGTGGGCACACAGCCACAAGTCCACTTCCCAATCTCACTACAGAGCACTGGGAGAGACTAACACTCTCCACCCATCTCTCCGCACAGGCTGCAGTACTCCCACATCCCCATCAGTCGACAACGCCCTTGGGAAATCATGAAGATTTTTTCCCGCTACCAGACGTTCAGATTCATCTGGTTCCCCAAGCCATCTGGCCAGCACTTTCACAAGGATCACCAGCTTCGGGCACCTCTGACTCTTGCTGACTTTGAAGCCATAAATCGCTGTGAGAGGCCGTTGCCTAAGAACTTTAACTTTGCTGGGGATGTGCTGGACCAGTGGTCCCAAAAAGAGAAGGTATAAGATGATGGGCTTCCATTAGATGCTTGGTGTCTCACCCTTCTCTTTCCTTCTTCTGTGGTCCATTTGTTATTTTTAATTCAGTTCTTTCATCCCTCCTGGTTTCCTTTGTTTGTTTTCCAGTTGCCCTCTCTCTCCCCAGGGAAGATCTTCGATCCTCAACTATGCATGGCTGTGTTTCTCTGGAGCCTCCTCTGTCCCCCTCATCGCGGCTACTCACAGAGTTAGGCCTCTTTTCCCTCATTTTCTCCAAGTCCCATGCAGCAGCTATTTGCTCTCCATTCATTTGTTTGGGCTGGTCACAAGCTTATCCAAAAAGCAGTAATTTGAGCTTTGGTTTTATGAATAGTCATCATTGGAGTAATTAGGAGAGAATCAGAGGTTAAGAATAAAGCAACAAGCCTTGAGTGTTTGCAGTGCAGCCTTAGATCAAGGTCCCTGCTTACTGACCTCACCCCATGCCAGGCACTCAGCTAAATGCTTTCCCTACAAGTGCTTACCAAAAGGCACCACAAGGGCTTGTGCTTCAGAAGATGCAGGTACCAGGCAGACAAGGTATTAAATAGTGTTGCATCAGTCCTTCCTATTAGAGAGGGCAAAGTCTTCCTTTAAATCCATTATGTCTTGAACAGCTCTCTTACACTTGCTAAACTCTCTTTTGAATAGAAAGAGCAGGTAGAAATTGAAAATCTCTAGATAAAATTTAAGGGCATATTTTGTTTTCAATATATTTATTTTTCAGTAACCTGTTTTCAGCAAATGATACTGATTTTCCAATTATGGTGGTGATTAAACGCATTTTCCTTGGGCTGGCCCCGTGGCTTAGCGGTTAAGTGCATGCGCTCTGCTACTGGCGGCCCGGCTTCAGATCCAAGCACGCACTGCATTTTCCTTAAGTAAATGCATACAAGTAAAAGTGAGTTGATGTAACTAAAAATACAAAGAACAATAGCACAAGTGTAGATCTGGCAAAAAAAAAAAAAGTGATACTCAAATGATTAAAGATTGAGAAATACTGACCTATATTATTTCATCAAATCCCCATCACCACCCTGGGGGGTTGCAGATAAGGAACTTAACCTTACAGAAAATAAGCTACTTATCCAAGGTCAGCAGTTGCAAAGGTACAGGAACCAGCCCCTGATCTTAGGGAGCTTACATCTGATAGGTAGGGCTGCATCCGTAATACAGTACAGTGTATTGGAGTCACCTAGAATATGAGCACAGAGCTGCGGGAACAGGGAGAAGTCAGAGAGGAGAAGAGAAGGAGGCTAAGAAAGGCTTCACAGAGGAAGCAAAATGGAAATTGGGCTTTGAAGTACTTCCCAATCAGGGAAGGTAAAAGGAACATTCCAGATAGTGGAAGGAAGGGAGAGTAATTTTTTTTCCAGGTAATACATAAAGCAAAGAGGTTTTGCAGTATAGATGACTCGCTTTGTAGAATCATGTATGAGAAGTAAATCAATCAATCAAGTTGATGCTCCTCCCCCAAAGGCCCTCCACCCTGCTCCTTGTTACCCATGAAAACCCATCCCTCAGCCTTTTGGGTAAAAAGAGATGTTAAGTGCCTAATCAACTTAGTACACCAGTTAGGGTTATTTGGATGGAACAGAGCCTGACCTAAGCAAGAAAGACATTCATTGGAGGGATATGGGAGAGCTCACAAAATTGGGTTGGAAGCTGGAGTCAGTCTCAGCAAAGACAGACACCAAGACAGCTCCCTGAGGATGCATAAGTACCAGGAGCAGATAGATAGGTTTTGCTCCAACCATTTTCTATCTTTTGGTTCTTTTCAGAAAACTTAAAATCAGAGAGAGAAGGTCTGATTGGCCCAACTTGGGTCACATGCCCACCCACTGGTCAAGGAAGGACGAGCACCTTGATAGGTTGTGTCACCAAGGCTGTGTTCAATAGGAGGGGAGTAGTTCCTCCAAAGACAACCTGGGGTGCTGTCACTGGAACCCACCGGCACAGATGCTGAGGGGAAGTAACAGCAGATGTCCCGTCTACTTGGTGTCCAGTCATTTATAAGCCTTCTCCTCTCTTTCCTGCGTGCCCTGGCCAGACAGGAGAGAGACCAGCCAACCCAGCCCTGTGGTGGGTGAATGGCAAAGGGGACGAGGTGAAATGGAGCTTTGGAGAACTGGGATCTTTGTCTCGAAAGGCTGCCAATGTGCTCACCAAGCCCTGTGGCCTCAAAAGAGGAGACCGAGTGGCCGTGATTCTGCCCCGAATCCCAGAGTGGTGGCTCATAAACGTGGCTTGTATGCGAACAGGTCAGTGCCAACATTTAACACTTCTAAATCATGCGGAAACAGAGAGAGACTGAAGGTTGAGATTTTTCTGAATTGTTAGTTCTGACTGAAGCTATGCTTACAAAGGACCTAAAAATAAGAGTTGAAATGAAGAGCAGTCATGATGTAATAATAATAACAACTACCACAAGAGGTAGGTATTATTATGATGCCCATTTTGCAAGAGAGGAAACTGAGGCTCAGAGAGGATAAGAAGCTTGCCCAAAGTCATACAGCTAGAAAGCTATGTAACTGGGATTTAAATACAAAGCTCTGTAAAAGCAAATGTGGGTACCGATGGCTCTTTGCAGTGCTGATTATGATGTGTTTGTCCAGATGATCCAGAATTTACTTCTCTGAATATATCTGGATTCTCTCTCATATGAAAATGCAAAAGGAAGAAAAAGCATCTTACAACACAAGGACTTGTGAGAATGTGACTGTGGATCCTAGTAGGAAAACCTCTGCCTCTTTCCAGACAAAAAGATTCATGTCTTTAATGACACATTTTCCCCAAAGTAGTAATTTATAATGTACCCTAAATAAAAATTCTACAGGATTCTTTTCCCCACTAGGACAGGGGTCAGCAAAAACCATGGCCTAGGGTTGGCCGTCTGTTTTTGTAAATAAAGTTTTAACGTTTTAATGGAATACAGCATATTTACATATCATCTAGGGCTCTTTTTGTTCTACGGCAGCAGAATTGCTAATTGAGAGAGAAATGGCACGGCTCACAAAGATGAAAATATTTACTATCTGGTCCTTTACCAAAAATCTTTGCCAATCCTTGCTCTAAAACATGACATAAATGTTCATAAAACAATTAAAAAAAATAAGAATACCAAAGGTTATACTACTGTAGAGAATACAGAGGTGTTTGTTGCAATATAGTTAATAATAGAATAAATTGGAATCAATTATACAGAACTGATTAAATAAATTATAACTTACCTGAGACTAAAGTTTAACTGAGGTATGTTTATTGCTAATTGAAAATAAGATGCCTGACCTTGGTGGGATATCATTAAAAGGATAATTATAAAGATTTCATAATGGTGTTGAAAAATGCTCTTACTGCCAATATTAAATAAAAACAGCAATATATAAAAACTTTTTTGCATTCACTGTTAAAAGGAACTTGCAAATGTGAAACCAATTGTGGAGTGGAAGGAGATTAAAGGTGGTTCACATGTCATAAAAAATGTATTTAATATTACTTAACATAATTTATGCAATTTGTGAAATGCCAAGATTAAAACAAACCCACAAGCTGAACGGTCAAAAATACTCAGTAAATTAAATGTTAAGCAAGCAGTTGAGGATTATGTTTTCTAACTCAGAATTGTTAAATCTTCTGAGTGAATATTGAAATGCTTGTACACCACCACATGGCAAAAGATTTTGCTTTTGCTGTAAAGTGTATACAGTTTAAGATCTGCTAGAAGAGAACACCCCGCCTAACCCCCAGACTGGACATCTATCCATTGAACACATTCATGTCACAAATTTACCAAGAGTGCTAATAATTTCTGAGCCTGTAAGAACACGTGGTTTGCAAAAAAACAGTTGTCGGGGAAGAGGGAGAATCCCCCTTCGCCCTTTCCCTTAAGGTTCTTATGGCTGACCAAATAATTAACAAGACAGGTTAGCAGGAGAAAATAATACCAAGTTTAATAACACGTATACACGGGAGAAACCAGGGAAACTGAGTTTCTCAACACAATGGCAGAGACTCTCATCTTGAATACCATCTTCAGCTAAAGACAAAAGAGGATGTTGGGGGTGGGGAGGGAGACAAAAGGGAGACAGAAATCACAGTAATCAAGGGTATGCAGATTTAAGTCCTCTCCTTCCGTACTGATAAGTTTCTAGAGATGAGGTCATACCCCCCTCTTCCTAGTACAGAGAGGGAGATAACTTTACAAATGGAGATTTCCCTTATAAATGTAAATGTTTGTCTGGCAACTCTTTGCAGGGCCACCTAGAGAATGTGGCCTGGGAGAGACAGAATTTTTGATAAGAGGGGCTTGTGGTGCCTTTCGTATTGTAACATTTTACATTATATTACAGTCATCATATGATAGTAACTCATTCCTGGAACAGGTATTCTATGTTAAATTCTTTAGGAAGTTTGGGGGAGGTCAAATGTCCATCAGAGAAAATACTCAAGGTAAAGAGATATATTTCAGTGTGGGCAATTTTGATCTCCCACACAGTCTTATATTTTTATATTAGTGAACGATCTGAGGTTCTCCGAGGTGTTTTCTTAATTAACTTCCTTATCATCACATGTTTATTCATTTTCTCAAGAGGGGATGACATTTAAGAGCTTTTAAAATATATTCAATAGGGCCGGCCCCGTGGCTTAGTGGTTAAGTGCGCGTGCTCTGCTACTGGCGGCCTGGGTTCAGATCCCGGGCATGCACCGACGCACTGCTTCTCCGGCCATGCTGAGGCCGCGTCCCACATACAGCAACTAGAAGGACGTGCAGCTATAACACACAACTATCTACTGGGGCTTTGGGGGAAAAATGAATTAAAAAAAAAATTAAAATATATTCAATACAGTCTGCTTCCAGGAATTCAACTCCACATCTTACTATTATTTTCCCCATTTTACAGATAAGGAAAGGAAGGCACAGAGAGATCAAGTAACATGCTCAAGGTCACAAAGCTAGTAAGTTGCAAAGACAGGATTAGACCCAGGGACTGTCAGACTCTGAAGCCAGTAGTCTAAGGATCTCCCAGTGATCAGGATCAGGGTCCTGTGGGACGTCCCTGGGGACCAAGGCAGGGATAGCTGAAGGCTGGATTCCACAGTTCCTTCTCACCTAGGCACACAGTTCAAGTTTCCACAGTCATCATCTTACCTAATGGACAACAGTTCTGTTTAGCTCAGAGCCCTCTCTCCTTCCCAGGGCTCATCTTCATGCCAGGAACAACCCAGCTGACGGCAAAAGACATCCTCTATCGACTACGAGCATCCAAGGCCAAGTGCATTGTGGCCAGTGAGGACGTGGTCCCTGCAGTGGAGTCCATTGTGTCAGAGTGTCCCGACTTGAAGACCAAACTCCTGCTGTCTCCACACAGCCAGAATGGATGGCTCAGCTTCCAGGAGTTATTTCAGTGAGTATTTGCCCCCACCTCATCTACAGTACCAGCAATAACACCAATCACAGCTACATCTCGGAGTCTCCTTGCCTCCAAGGACTCAGCAACACCCTGAGTTGATCCCGGCTCCCTCCCAGAAAAGAATCACCTAATAAAAGGTTTTGAAGGACAGAAGGAAGGGATGTAGCTCTGCCTCCATTTCCCTGTTTCCTACCATGGCCTGTCATGAGTATCCTGCATGGCTTGGCCCTTGCCTAACTCATGGACCACATCTCCCACCACTCTCTCTGCCTTGTCTCCCTCTGGCTACCCTTTTATGCCTCCAACATGCCCCACCTCAGGGCCTTTGCACCTGCCATTTCTTCTGCTAGGAAGAAATGCTCTTCCTTAGTCCTTTTTACATTGTCTCCTTCCTGTGAGATTGCAGCTCAAATGATTTCTCCTCAATGAGGCTGTTCCTGACCACTCTATCTAAAGTAGAATTCCAAGCCATTCGAACACATCATCCTGTTGTTTTCTTCATAGCACTCATCACTATCTGAATGTCATGTCCATTCACTTGTTCCCTTCTTTACTCTCTGTTTTCCCTTCTATGGTAGGGGTGGGCAAATGAGGGCGCACAGGCCTATTCTGGGTTAGCATCTGTTTTAGCAAAGTTTTATTGGAACACAGCCACACCCACTTGTTCACATGTTGTCTATGGCTGCTTTCATCTCACAAGAGCACAGGTGAGTAGTTGCAACAGAGACCATACGGCCCACGAAGCCTAAGACATTTACTATCCGGCCCTTTACAGAAAAAGTGCGCCAACCCCTGCCCTAAACTGTAAGCTCCATGAAGGTGAAGGCTCTGTCTGTCTGTCTGGTTGATCACTCTGTCCCCAGTTCCTATCATGTAGTTGGAGCTTAAGAAGAATTTACTGAATGAATGAACAAAACAGATTACTTAACGTCAGTTTTCTCACATGTAAAATGGTAATAATTATACTGCCCATATCTCAAGTGTTGTTTTGAGGATAAAATGATCTTATATTTGAGAAAGTGCTTCCTAAAATGTAAAAAAAGAGAATAAAATGTTAATTAATGGTATTATCCTTCAAAGAGCTGTTAAATAGCTTATGTTTAAAAAAAAATTTCATCCAGAGAAGCTCATAGAAAGAAGACAAATAAACCCAGTTGAATAATAGGGCAGTTTCCTTTGTTGGAAGGAAATTTTATCCTTCTAATTGATGTAAACAAAATCCTATTGGTCAATCCCAAAATTCTCTCCCAAGCGCCATGCCAGTGGATCCTATTTGTATCCTTTATAAACTGTGGAACTTTGGATAAATCAAGTAACATCTCTGAAACTCTCTCTTATCCATAAAATGGAGATAAGGATAGTATCTACCTCATGGGGTTGTAAAAGAATCAAATGTGATGAAGCATGTGAAGTGTTTAGCACAATGCCTGGCACACACCCCATAAATATTATAGTAATTATAATTACTATTATTATTTTCATGTTAATAAAGTCACTCAGCAGTTCTGTGACTCCCTAAGGTAGCAGCCCACATAGAAGAACTAGAAGGACTTACAGCTAGGATATACAACCATGCACTGGGGGGCTTTGGGGAGGGAAAAAAAAGAGGAAGATTGGCAACAGATGTTAGCTCAGGGCAAATCCTTCCCTGCAAAAAAAAAAAAAAAGAGAGAGAGAGAAAAAAAGTCTCTTCGGCATTCACAGATTATGATGTCTCTTCTTTTAGTAAAAGAAAAAAAAAATGAAAAGCCTTATATCAAAAGGTTTCCATACTGGTTTGAGAAGCATTCAAAACAAGAGTTTTCTTTTTTCCTTTTTTTGGTGAGGAAGATTAGCCCTGAGCTAACATCCATGCCCATCTTCCTCTACTTTATATGTGGGATGCCTGCCACAGCATAGCTTGACAAGGGGTGCATAGGTCTGTGCTCAAGATCTGAGCCTGCAAACTCCAGGGTGCCGAAGCAGAGCTCACTAACTTAGCCACTACGCCACTGGGCCGTCCCAAGAGTTTTCTTTTTTTTCAGGGTATTAGATACTGTGAAGAAACCCCCCTTTCTCCAGCCCAGCACATACCAGCTTCACCCTATACATATATACAGTCACGCACCACATAGCGATGTTTCGTCAATGATGGACCGCATATATGATGGTGGTCCCAGAAGATTAATACCATATAGCCTAGGTGTGTAGTAGGCTATGCCATCTAGGTTTGTGTAAGTACACTCAATGATGTTAGCACAATGAAATTGCCTAATGATGCATTTCTCAGAACATATCCCTGTTGTTAAGTGACACGTGACTGTATTGAAGGAAATCAATACAATTGAATAATCTTTTTCTATTTTGGGGGAGAAGAGGTGAGTTACCAAGAAAACCACATTAATATTTCATGAAACCCTTTTTGATAATGTGGTGTAAGTTTATGTTATTAATCCTCACTGTTTTACAGTTTCAGTGACAATCTTATTCATTCATCATCAGGATGAATTAAAATGGCATCCTCAACCCAGTTTCCTTCAACCTGGGAAATTAAAACTATGACACATGAGTTTCAAAAATTCTTAGATATTGTATCACTTATCCAAAACTGAGTAATAAATCATCCCCAAACCTAGTGGTATAATACAAAAATCATTTTATTTGCTCACTATTCTGTGGGTTAGAAGTTCTTGCAGGCCTCAGCAGAGGCAGCTATCTCTGCTCCATATCATCTTGACCGGGGCTGGAGGATCCAAGTGGGTTCACTCATAAGTCTGAGGCATTGGTGTTGTCTGTTGACTGAAGCACCTCACTTCTCCCACACCTGGGCTCTCTCTCCAGCAGGACAGTCTGAACATTTTTTTGGTGAGGAAGATTAGCCCTGAGCTAACCTCCATTGCCAATCCTCCTCTTTTTCCTGGGGAAGATTGGCCCTGGGCTAACATCTTGCCCACCTTCCTCTATTTTATATGTGGGACATCTGTCACAGCATGACCTGATAAGCAGTGCATAGGTCCACGTCTGGGATCCGAACCCGCAAACCCTGGGCCGCCAAAGCGGAGCGCACAAACTTAACCACTACGCCACCGGGCCAGCCCCCAGTCTGAACATTTTTAATGGTGGCTGGGTTCCCCCCAGTGAAAGTGAAAACTATAAAGCCTCTTGAGACCTAGGCTAAGAAGTTGCAGAACTTCTTCCACACTCTATCAGTCAAAGCAAGTCATAAGGCCAGCCCAGATTCAAGGAGACAGGACATAGGCTCTACCCCTCAATGAGGGAGTGGCATGCTTATAGGGATAGAAGGAATTGTTGGAGCTGTCTGTGCAGACAGTCTCACACAGATATTGTTGTCGGTTAGAATGCTCTTGACTTTAGTAATAGGAAACCCAAGTAAAAGTAGCTTAAACAATACCAACAATTTTATTATATCACAAATAAGAAGCATAGAGGTATAGTAGAATGAGAGTTTGTTCATTCAGTGGTTTGATGAAGTTATTCATCATCTGAATGACCCAGATTCATTCATTTTTCCATCATGCCATCCTCAGTGTGTCTGCTAATCCCCCTGTGATCCCAAAATGGCTAGGGTAGTACCAGATACCCTCTACTTTCACAACAATATCCAAAGGCCAGAAAACAAGAAGGGCGGGGCGGGGAAAGGCAGCATCCCTTCCTCTCGACTTGTTTTAGAATAAGGACACGTTTCCCATAAAGCCTTTAAATCTCATTGACCATAACTGCACCATGTGCCCATTCCTAAACCAGTCCCTGGTAAGGGAAGGAATGACCAGGATTGGCTTAGGTTACTCAAGATTCACCCTTGGAGTTATATAGGAAACAGTCTCCCCTGAAGCACACGACCGCCTGATAGCTGAACAAAATCAGTTTTATCAGTGCGAGAAGAATGGGATGCTATTTGGTGCACAACTAATTGTGTCTGCCAGTGATATTGAAGATATTGAATAAAAAGTATTAAAAAGTTTGATTCAAATGCCAAAAGATCTTCCTTTAAATCATAAAAACTCCTGAAATGTTAATAACAATTTACAGAAATTCAATACTTATGTTTTAAAATTCATGGAGTAAACAAAAGCACTTAGAAAAAAATGTTTAAATAAATAAAATACACATCCTTTTGTTATTGATATTGCAAGTTATCTTCCCTTTCTATTTGGCTATAGGGAGGTGGAGCTTAAAAAAGAGAGAGAGGGGGCCAGCCCAGTTGCGTAGTGGTTAAGTTCGTGCGTTCCGCTTCAGTGGCCTGGGGTTCACGGGTTCAGATCCCACGCGTGGACCTACGCACCACTTATCAAGCCATGCTGTGGCAGGTGTCCCACATATAAAGTAGAGGAAGATGGACACAGATGTTAGCTCAGGGCTAATCTTCCTCAACAGAAAAAAAAAAAAAGAGAGAGAGAGAGAGATGTGCTGTTAAATCTTAGCACTGATCTGCAAAGTCCCTCTAAGACTTCTTCAGAAATTCCTTTCAGGGAGGCTCTGAACAGGTTTTGCTCTATTAACCATCTTCTGGTAACAAGAGGGCATAAATAGCAGAACAAAAGAACTATCAGAGTTAAACTGGTCTGCCATCTTCAGCCACCATCTTGGGGTCCATATTTTACAGATCCGCCTCTGCACAACACAGCTGTGTGGAGACAGGAAGTCAAGAACCAATGGCCATTTATTTCACCAGTGGGACCACAGGCTCTCCCAAGATGGCCCAGCACTCTCAGAGCAGCCTTGGAATTGGGTACACCCTTTGTGGAAGGTAGGGAGGAAACTCTGTTTTTGCTAAATTCTCCCCTGAGCCGCCAACATGTGTATCCAACTGCCTAGGTGACACCTTTACTTGGATGGCTATTAGATATCTCCAGTGTAACATCTATGAAACAGCACTCTTGGGACCGGCCCTGTGTCATAGTGGTTAAGTGCACGTGCTCCACTTTGGCGGTCCGGAGTTCACAGGTTCGGATCCTGGGCGTGCACCAATGCACCACTTGTCAAGCCATGCTGTGGCAGCATCCCATATAAAGTAGAGGAAGATGGGCATGGATGTTAGCCCAGGGCCAATCTTCCTCAGCAAAAAGAGGAGATTTGGCAATGGATGTTAGCTCAGGGCTAATCTTCCTCACACACACACACACACACACAAAAGAGCACTCTTGATGCCCCTGCCCAACCTTAGCTCAGTAAACGGCACCATCTCACCAACTGATCAAGCAAGAGCTTAGGAATCAACCTTGATTCAATCCCCACAACAGCATGTCTGGCTCCTTCTCCTCATTGCCAGGTAAATTTCCCCACCCAGAGAGGCCTTCCTAGATATCCTAAAACTATCACATTAACCTGTTTTATTTTCCTCATAGCACTTATCGCTATTTGAAATTATGATATTGATTTATATAATTACTCATTTTATTATGTGCTCATTCAGTATTTCCCTAAAATAAGAGCAGAGATCTGGTCTACCTTGCTCACTATGCTAGGCAGAACAGTGCCTAGCATATAATACTTGTACAATAAATATTTGTTGCATGAATGGGCAAACTCAGAAAATCATGCCAAACTCAGCCTCCTGCTCCACTCTCAGACAACTTAGGATTCTGAAAAAGTCCTCTAACAAAAGCAAGGGGTAAAATTGCTCATCCTGCCTTGGGGCTTCTTTTGATCCTCCTCTGTAGCCACTGAGGTTCTGGCCAGTCTTCAAAGACACAAGTTTGTTTGCTTTCCTGATATTTCTGGTGTGTCTTGTTGCTTCTCTGTGTCATGTAGGTATTGGCTAGACCTGAAGTCCTCAGATATCATATGGAACATGTCCGACACTGGCTGGATCAAGGCCGCCATTGGCAGTGTGTTTTCTTCCTGGCTTCAGGGAGCTTGTGTCTTTGTGCATCGGATGGCCCAGTTTGACACTGACACCTTTCTAGACGTAAGTCATGACTTCCAGCTACATCTCTCCCTTGTCTCCCCCAAAACCACAGAAAAATGATTCCTCAGAATACAAGGTGTCTTGGGCTTATGGAAATCATTCCTTTTTAAGAAGCAAAGTCTCCAGGGACTTGGCTTTTGGTGTATTTAACAGAGTGGAGAGGGAATGTCCACAACACTCTCAGGCATAAAATTCACTCTTCTGCTTCAAATTGTTCAGGATGTGCTAGTGTCATGAAATCTGTGGCTGCTTAATAATCTGGTTCTAAATAACAGATTAGAAGTCTCAAGTCTAAACACATCTTTGGTTTCCGATTCAATGAAATAAAGACAATACTGATAAAACCGAACTCCTGTGCAGAGGAGACTAAAGCTGGGGTCACCTTTCTCCTAGAGCCGCTCCATCCATTCTCCTCTCACCCCATGCTGCTCACTTTGTTAATCCTCAGAACTCAGTATTCTTGAAGCCAGGTATGCCTCTCCTTCTCAGCCACAGACAGCTAGACTGAGGTATCAGATGACTCTGATTTCTTTAGCCTTTAGAAAAATGTGATTCAGGGGCCTGGCCCAGTGGCATAGTGGTTAAGTTCATGTGCTCCACTTCGGTGGCCCGGGGTTCACAGGTTTGGATCTTGGGTGCCAACCTACGTACCACTTATCAAGCCATGCTGTGGTAGGCCTCCCACATATAAAGTAAAAGAAGATGGGCATGGATATTAGCCCAGGGCCAATCTTCCTCAGCAAAAAGAGGAGGATTGGCAACAGATGTTAGCTCAGGGCTAATCTTTCTCACTAAAGAAACCCAAAAAACAAAAAGAAACAAAAAAAAGAAAAATGTGATTCAGGCCAATTATTTTTCAATCATGAAAAATCAATTAAGTTTAACAAAATACATATTATTTAATAAACACCACACCTGTGTGTGAATAAAAGCTATACTCACCCTGCTATTCTGCTAACTGGTCTGAGAAGATGGCTTGAGGGTCTTAACAGAAATGTGGGATAACACAAGAACTGGGATCTCTACATCAGGTTTGCAAAGTGCCCTGAAGTAAATAATTAACTTTGCAGTTTCGAAATCTACATTTCATAAAATAAGAATATTGCTTTTTATAAAATATTATTTTATAATATTTAACTAAGAATATTAAAATATATTCTTATTTTAACATTCTTACTTAATATATTAAATAAGATATATTAATAATAAATCATATTAATAGATTGACATTAAGATATTAATATATCTTAATATTCTTATTTTACACAGATAATGTGTTTTTTATTTTTTTTGTGAGGAAGATCAGCCCTGAGCTAACATCCATGCCAATCCTCCTCTTTTTACTGAGGAAGACTGGCCCTGAGCTAACATCCATGCCCATCTTCCTCCACTTTATGTGGGACGCTGCCACAGCATGGCCTGACAAGCGGTGCGTCAGTGCACACCTGGGATCCGAACGCGGGCTGCTAGCAGCGGAGCACGCGCACTTAACCGCCACGCCACGGGGCCGGCCCAACACAGATAATGTGTATACTTTAAGTGCTATAAAAACTGTCATGGGCTGACACACTTTTAGTTATATACATTACATTTATTATGAACAGTTGGAATCTAGGGAGCAAGTACACACAGTAGAAATGCACACTTACAGATCACAAGTTATTCTTGATCTATGACAATCCAGATAGCGTAGACATACATCATGAAAGCATTATCCCAAATGCTTAAATTTAATACAAACTGTCAATTCATTATGTGACATAGTGGAACCTCTCTAGAAAGAGGATCTCTAAAGTATTAGTATTTCTCCAGATTTAAGATGTCTAGGTCATTATTTGAGTTTAAGGAGCTGGAGGTATTATGAGCCCAGCAAATCTTAAACAATTAAGAAAAGGCCTGATAAATGCCTTACTTATGCATTTAACCAATCCATTCAAAAGGACTAATGTCTTTTATAGAAACAGTGTTGGCTCAAGTTCAACAATGTACTTTTTATTGAATTTGATTGTGTATGTCTATTACTATAACATATAAACATTCTTCCCCAAGTTGGAAATTCCCAAAAGACATACACCTACTAGTAACAACTAATAAATATTTGCTTTCTTATTCCTAGCAGTGACCATGAGATGGGCACACGTTAATGAAAGAGATTAAGAGGTTAGACATCAGCTCTAGTTGTGGCCTTTAATTAACCACTTCTGACATCTGTGTCTTTCTCCATCATCCAGACCCTTACCACTTATCCCATCACGACCCTGTGCAGCGCTCCCACTGTGTACCGGATGCTTGTGCAGAAAGACCTGAAGAGGTACTTGGGCAGAAATCTCCACTTGAACCACAAACAAAAGCTATAATCCAGCATCACAGATCTCGCCTTTTCAGAACAGGAAAGACCAGGGTTTCTCAGTCTCCTCACTACTGACATTTTGGACTGAATAATTCTGTGTCGTGGGGGGCTGTCCTGCACACTGTAGGATGTTGAGCAGCATTCTACCTGGCCTCTACCTACTAGATGCCAGCAGTATCTCCCTCTCCACCAGTCATGACAATCAAAAACGTCTCCAGATATTGCCTGCCTAAAGTCTCCTAAGGGGCAAAAATTGCCCCCCAGTTTAAGAATAACAGGGAACAACTAGGGGCAACTGAATATTTTCCTGGGGACAATCAGAGCCCTACAGTCCCAGAACTCCCACTCCTCTCCCCCAAAAACACAAGTACATTTATACTGCCTTAAAGAGAAGCTAATAAAGTCTTAGGACTTGAAGATTATATTCAATTTAGCCAAATTACCTGAACATCCAGAGGAGTTGCAATGTATATTTATCTAACTAATATGAATGCAATACATAAGGAGAGAGAAAGGAAGAGAGAATCAACTAAGTGGTGCAGGCTCACCCATCCCGTTCCCCCAAGGTTGGGACGTCCAGGAGGTAGAGTGCTATGAGAGACAGAGTAAACAGATAGGAATCTTCTCTTATCCTACTCCGTGTCAACTCCTTTGTGGCCCTCAAAGTAATTAAAGGGCTATTCAAGAGTTATTCTGAATAGGCACCATTCCTGTCCTAGCACACCTTCCTGCTCAGTTGGGACCTCACTGTATCAGTCGGGCTGTTCCAGACTTTGTCACCTGAGTCCTGGGGGCAGCTGAGTAGTAAGGCCAGTGGTTACAAAGCTTGAGCTCCAAGTCAAACAGGCGGGGCTCTGCTACTGACTAACCTGTGACTCAGACACTGAAGATGACCTTGATAAGCCTCCCTTCACTCCACCCATAAGAGAGGATTAAGAGCCACCTCATGGGGTGGTGGTGAGAATTCAGTGTCAGCAGCAGGATTGGTGAGATCCCTGATGTGTGGTAAGTGCAGAGTATCCATCTCCGCCCTTTATTCTTTGAGGTCTTGGGCAAGTTCTTTAACTACTCTCAGCCTCAATTTCCTCATCTGTAAAACAGGGGCTGTGAGGATTATGAGAGTGCTCCTAAAGCCCTTACAACATCGGAAATGCTCAATCAACATTAGCTGTTATACCACCTGGCTCATAATAAATGCTTAATTTCATTATTAGCATTTTCTCCTACCCTTTTCCCTCTTTAATAGCCTGCTAAAATGTAAGCTCTGTCAGGAATCTTTGTTCTAATCACTAACATACCCCACATGCCTAGAACAATGTCTGGCAATATATTAGGTGCTCAACAAATATTCGTTGAATGAACTTCCCTGACACTTGCCTCTCCCAGCTCCTTTGCTTGTTGCTTGAATGTCCTAATTATCTTGTACTGGAAGCCCCTCAGATTTCTCTCCCTAAAGACCCCCAGCAACTCTGTCTCTCCAGATACAAATTCAGGAAGTTGCAGCACTGCTTGACGGGAGGGGAGCCGCTCAATCCAGAGGTGCTGGAACAGTGGAAGGCACAAACTGGGCTGGAGCTATATGAGGGCTACGGACAGACAGAAGTGGTATGTTTAATGGGCCAAGTTTAAGTTTAGCACATTGGGAGCCTTTAAACCCCAGGACTGTCAACTGAGCCCCTGAAGTGTCCCCATCTTGCTCTAAATTTTTATGGAGTTTCCCAGAATATCTTACCTTGCCAGTAATTACCAAAACCTCTAAATTGCTCAATTAGGTTTGGCTCAAGGGGAATTATAATTATTCCTTACAGTCTTCCTGCCTCCTCCCAATGCAGGAGAAGTCTCAGAGGTACTAGGGGTTGGAGAGGTTCAGAATTGAGCAGCTCGTCTTTCCATTGCACTGGGAAGGACCCCAGAGAGCCCCAGTGGGGAATTTATTCCAACGCGCTCCTAATGGTACCCTTAGTCTAAAGGAGTGGTTTTCAAAGTGTGGTCCTCAAACCAGTAGTATCAGCAGCTCGTGGGAATTTGGTAGAAATACAAATTTTCACACATGCCCCCCACCCCCAGACCTATGGAATCAGAAACTCTGGGATGGGTCCCAGCAATCTGTGTTTTAACAGTGCTCCAGGTGATTCTGATACACACTCAAGTTTGAAAACCACTGGTCTAAAATAATGTATTGCATAAGAGGAGCTTGTATACTGGGAAAATCAGTCAAAACTGAGTCTTAAGTTTCATTATCACGATAAAAATAGCTACAGAAAATGAATTTTTACACTTATATAAAATATGTCCTCTCAATAGGGAATAATTTGTGCCAACCTGAAAGGACAAGAAATTAAACCGGGCTCGATGGGGAAAGGAGTAGTACCCTATGATGTCCAGGTGGGTAACATCTGACTTGTTCAGTAAAAGAGAGAGAGAATGTTTTACAGTTTCTGCTACTCAGTATACAACTATTCACAACCCATTTTCATTTTGTGAAAAGAAAATTTTAAGAACCTAAATTGTTTCTTTTATTCTAGATTATAGATGAAAATGGCAACATCCTACCACCTGGCAAAGAAGGGGAAATTGCCCTCAGACTAAACTCTACATGGCCCTTCTGTTTCTTCTCTGAATATGTGGTACAAGAATGCAGAACGTGCTCTTTACACTTTAATAGAAAAGGTGGTACAGGGAGTCATACAGACTTGGATCCAAATTTCATATCCACCACGTTTTGCTATGTAGCCTTGGGCAAGTCACAAAATCCAAGTCTATTTCATCAACTGTAAAATGGGGAGAATACCATCTATCTCCTAAGAGTTTTGTAAAGATGAAATTCTATGTGTAAGAAGCCAGTTGCAGTGGTTGTCCTCAGAAAGGACAACCGGGCAGGCTGCGGAGCGGGGGAGGGGCATACAGGGTGCTGGAGGTGGAAGAGAAGTTTACTCTTTATTATACTCGTGGACCTTTGGTATTCTACATTAGGGACTACCTTTTTAAAGAATTAATTTCTTTTAGAAACACAATGTGCAATGTCCTAGTCACATCCTGGGATCCATACCTCTTTTTCTATTCTGACCAAGTTAATCCCCGAAGTCATCTCTGATTCCTAGGACAATCCAGAGAAAACTGCCGCCACGATAAGGGGGAATTTTTATGTCACTGGAGACAGAGGAGTGATGGACAGTGACGGGTATTTCTGGTTTGTCGGCAGAGCCGATGATGTCATCATTTCCTCTGGGTCTGTATATTTGCCACTTGAAGAAATTAACACTTTGCCAGGGGAGATCTCCTACTTGGGGAGTGTAGTGACCAAAGGCTTCTTCTCTTCTAGGTACCGTATTGGGCCATTTGAAGTGGAGAGTGCACTGATTGAGCACCCAGCAGTTGTTGAATCAGCTGTTGTCAGCAGTCCAGATCCAATCAGAGGAGAGGTAGAGTGCATGCCACTAATTAAAGTAGCAATTTCATAGTTTCAAGTTCTGTCCATTTGACCACTCTAAGGAGTGAATCAAGAGTAGTCACGTATTTCTCATTATGTGGCAAAAATGTACCCTAGGCAATCAACTTTTACAAATAAGTTGTGTCCCAAAGGAGATATATTAGGATTCTTTTGGTGGCAAGTGACAGAAACTCAACTTAAACTGATTTAAGGAAAAAAAAAAGGAATTTACTGGCTCACACCTAAGTGAGGTCTTCAGATACAGCTACATCCAAGGGTTCCTCTGAAGTTAGCAAAACTTACTTACTCTCTATTTCTTGGATCTGCTGTTCTTTATGTTGGCTCCATTTGGGCAGGTCCTTCCTACTTGATAGCAACCAACTAGAGACATACACAGCTGAACAACCCCAGGAAATGAGACAGCTCCCTTTCCAACAGCTTCAAGCGACTCTCAGAATTGCATTTGCCTATCTTAGATCACATCTCTAAACGTGGTCTGGGGAATGCTATATGCTGAGTGGCCAGACCTGGATCACAGGCCCATCATTGGAGGTGGCAGTAATCCTCCATCAGAAAATCAGAAAATCAGAGTACTGTTATTCAAAATGGGGGATCAGCTATTGCATAAGCAAAAGCAGCAGATGTTACTGTATGTACAATTGTCATGGAACTCAGAATACATTTTCTCACAGAAACAATGAAAACAGGAAACTGTGGCCAGGTTCCCAAACAAGTCTCACAAGCCTAATTAGGACCCAATGAAAAGGAATTCAGGGAATGACAGCAATAGCCTTAGTTCTTGGAAGAAGCCATAGAGTATGGAAGGGAGAAGTTTCCTTTCCTCATGGAAGTTTCCTACAGACTCAGGAAGTGGCAAAATTTCAAAAGCAGTTTGCCTATCAGCATCCTCCCACATCTCTTTCTGTACCCTGGCTCACATACCAGTGACCCTCTGCAGTGACACTATGGATCCCATACTCATACCTCCTGTACCACCTCCACACTCAATGGATTCCATTCTCCAAAATATTTTTCTCCTGCCACCATCTTCTCATTCTCTCAATATAACTGATATCAGCTGAATATCAGAAGTAAACACCAATTAGAATGTATGAATAATTAATAATTTAAACTATACTTACTAATCTCAATAATTATCTAATTGGTGGGTTTTAAATAGTATTACAAAGAAAAGCAAAAAATATCAGGCAAGAAAAACCTGATAGAGGTAGAGGTAGACTGACCCTTCCTGAGAGTCCATCTCCCAGCATACACAACCCTTCCTCCATCAGGCCTCCCCAAACCCCTTTCAAAACACATGTTCTCTAGAACCGCCATTTGTTCCCCACTACATACTTCTAACAGTACAGGTCTGTGGGAGTAAGTGGTCATCTATACATCAAGGACTGCCTGTAGAACAGATAGGATTAGTCTGGTGGAAATGTTAAATACATGAGCGACGTAAATAAAACTCAACCTTCAGTTTCATTGAACCACTGCACCCCTCACACTCACAAACCATTCATCTGCAATTAGATGTCAAAACCTCACTTTAGAGTTGTATCCAAGCTTTGTTTAGAGGCGATCTCTGGCACTTGCCTTCATCACTCAAGCTGCTAGTAACAAATAAAAAGTACCTGTGTTCAGCATTGCTTCCGAACTATTGATACGTCTGAAAAACAAACATATCAACATAAATTGACTTTTCTCCTGCAGGTAGTGAAAGCTTTTGTTGTCTTATCTGCACCCTTTAAATCATCTAACCCAGAGAAATTAACTCTCGAACTTCAGAATCACGTGAAAAAATCAACTGCACCTTATAAATATCCAAGAAAGGCAAGTATTTTGCTCAAAAGTTCAAGTGTGTTATCAAACAAGGGTCTAAGCATATAGATTTTATTAGCTTTTGACTTTATAGTAACTCATTATATAAGTAGAAGACACCTATGTCAACTTGTTTAGCCCTAAGAATTTTGCTTTAAAATATTTCATACTAGGACACTACAAATGCTTGATAAACTGCAAGTTTTGATCAACTCTGCAGTACTGAGTAACCAGCTACCAAGGATCCTCATCAGACTAATTAGTACAACTCTATATGAGGAAAAAAGATGGTGGCCAATTGTTTTTAAAGACATCACCTGATCCATCTATCACAGTACTCTTGGGCCATATACCCTTATAAATCCATAGTACATGCCCTTAAGTATCAAGTGACTGAATTTAAGGCTCAGGAAGAAGATATTATCCAAAGAAACTGTGGAATCTTTCCTAAAACCTTCTTCAAAGAGATTTAAGAATAATTCTACATAAAGACTCAGAGATGGCACTGCAATTTCCTTCTAGTCCTTTCCTGTTGATGGTGACTGATGCTCTACATCATTTCAGCCAAAAAGCAGTTAATTTCAACCTAGGAACTAGTTACATTTCCTCCATTAAATTCACTAAATCAATGACAAGTTGATTTTCAGAACTGTGGTTTGAGGACATTTTAAAATATAGTAGTCTTATCTTGAAAGAGGGGAACAGAGAGAATTCTACTATCAAGTCAGGGCATAGGGGAAAAAATGTGCCCCAGAATATCCAGGACCCAGCTCGTAAAAGCTCAAAAGCCAAGAATCAACTTGCTGTTTCTCTTGGCATTTAGCTGTGGCCGCTATTTCCCTGGGGCAGTAGAGGCCTAGGTCTGGTTTGAACTGGGGAAAAGCAATGGAGTAAAAGGATTAGTCGTCTTCTGGCAAAGCACAGAGGTGAATTTGCACCAAAATATCCTATGCTGGACCTCCGCTGTCCTCTTTACTGTGTAAACAGAACAGTTTCTGGTGTCCAAGAAATTCAATAAGCTTAGGCTAAGCCAAGCCCCAGACTCTGAAACTCAATGCCCGTTTCATGAAAGCTCTCTCCTATTGTACTGACAGCTGGGATAGTCAAAATGGAGTCAAGTGTCTCATAATGTTTTTCTGTTGCTTAGGTGGAATTTGTTCCAGAACTCCCAAAGACAATCACTGGGAAAATCAAACGCAACGTCTTAAGAGACCATGAATGGGGTCGAACATAGCCTGATAAAACTGTGGCATTATGTAGTTATAGGGCTGCTTTCCTTTAGTCCTGGCTTCCTGATAATTCAGAGTCTACTCTCTTAAAGTGCTTAAGATTTTTCCTGTTGAAACACTCAACTGAGTTTCTGTTTTGTACTTAGCCAAAAAATAAATAAAAATCTAAAAATACTTGGGAATAAACTGTTATGATGACCAAACTGACAAAGGCAATGACTGTAATGCCTTCTAGTGTGTAAAACAGCAAGGGTCACAGTAGACAATGAATTTATCTTGTCTGATTAATTCCAAATAAAGATTAGAACTACTCTAAGAGAAACGTTCAAGACAATTTCTTCTGTTTAACATCTTTATATTACTAATCCTTTAAAGTGGATTAAAATATTAATGTTAAAATGAAAAATATGGGCCAGCCCCGTGATCTAGTGGTTAAGTTCGGCACACTCTGCTTCAGCAGCCTGGGTTTGGTTCCCAGGCGTGGACCTACACCACTCATTGACAGCCATGCTGTGGCGACAACCCACATACAAAATAGAGTAAGATTGGCAGGGATGTTAGCTCAGAGCAAATCTTCCTCAGCAAAAAAAAAAACATATATATATATAAACAATTCAAAAGACAATTAGCGAATTTAATTAACTACTGTATTACTATACCTCATTTTGAAGCACTTCACTGTAAAATATCTTAGGCTTGGATTACTTAAAGAGTATTTAATTATTCAAGAGCAATTAATAAATTTTTTGTATTTTACTTTTAGGACAATGTACATGACTTTTATTGACATAATTTGACACAGAAACATCTTTCTTGATGTATCTACTTATTATAAAGCAAGAGATTTACTAAGAGGCAGAAAGAAAAAGTACAGAACACCAATCTTTACAGATCAAATTTATTTTGATTTTTCTGAAAAATATCAGGAACTATGAAAAACAAGCTGAATATGTGGCCATACCAAAAGCAAAATACAAGTGAAATAACTTGGAGAAATCAAGTTTAACCTTACAGAAACATGTTTTAAAGTACCAACTTTAACATTCTTCCCTCCATAGAGCAAAACAGGTTTACCAAACCACAACACTAAAGTGGAGCTTTTTTAACTGACATAATTTTTTCAAATAAGAATCAAAAGAACCAAAAAAGCACTCAATTCCCACCTTGGAATCTCATCATTTATAAAATAACATACTCAACTGTCAGTGAAAATCAACACTTGGTAAACCTGAAAACAAACCTTTCAAATCAATCAATTCAGATTCCAACAGAACACAGTATACCTGAGAGCTGGGGAAGAACAGCTTTTATCACTCTCAGGTCTCACCAAATACCAATAAATACAAACGGGGATTAAAAACAAACTATTAAATCAAAATCTTTCCAGGGAATAGCAGCTTTCACAAACTAAAAGGAAACCAATTCCACAAAGCTGTATGTTCTATAAGGATATAGCCTATTTTATTCCCAGAGTCTTGCACTGTCAAAATACAAGTATTTTTGTCTTGGACAAGTCTGTTGAAGGCACCAAAATCCTATCCTCCAAATGACATTTATGACGCTCTTATCACCCTTTGGATGACTTCAACCTATTAACTTTCTAAATATCTAAAGATATATAAAAAAGTGCCAGCCTCATCTGCATTAGCAAGGCCCTGTCTATTCTCTTTGCCCCTCCCAAATCCTTAAAGTCTGGTTTACCAAGCAGGCCCACTAGCTAGGAGGATAAAAATATATGCCCACATTCACTAGCCATTAAACCAACAGCCACTGGTGCAGGAAGTCTTAGCACTTATAAGACTTTCAAACTTTTTAAAACTTAAAAAATAAACCCATCTCCAAAAGCTAATTTCACAGTCCCTTAATATTCTGAATTGGGACATCTTATTTTGCAGCCCTCTTCGGTGTCTGTCTCTTCCAGCCTTATTCAGTAGTTTTACTCTAGAGGAACCCTTGAAAAAGCTTTCAAATTAAGGGAACCCTCAAGGCACGTGAATGTGAGCACTAAGTTGAAGGATACTGTCGTTGCACAGAAATCCAGAACTGTCAGACCAGGACTCACAGAGTTCTTTCTCTTCTCTCAAAGACACAATCTCAGGCTGAGGACATTTAGAGAAAGGGTTCCTCATCAAGTCACACACCAGTGTTGGGAAAAAGAGGGGAAACGCTATTTGATTTGATTTTGCAGCTCTTCAAGGAGAGTTTTAGTAAGGCTTGATACTTGTTGCTGTCTTTCTTCATTCTGAAGCCCAAGTGGCTGTGGAAACATTTCAAGAGTTCCTTTGCCAATGTGACTGTTCCAAAGACTCGGTTTCTTTTTCATCTAAGAATCACGTCACTTAAGAAAAGACATTTTCTCCAGGACCTTGCAGAAACTTGTTCATACAATGAAAAATGTTTGCTAAACAGACTAGTTTCTGTAGCCATTCTTCATCTTCAAAGCATTCAGCAAAATCTGGCCTAGTATTTTCTTGTAAGTACTCTGGAAATTCACCTTTCAACTCAAATATCCTGTTGAGAAATCTTCCTCTGATAAGCCACTGGATTTCTCTATGTAGCAGATTTAGGTGCCCTTTGTTCAGGTTTTAGTTTTTGGTTTTTTTAGAACATTCTCGCATAAATGGGTCTTTAATAAAGTTAACCATTTTTGTAGCATTATTCAGAACTTTCTTCATTTCATCTCCAAGTTTTTTATATCAGCACCTCTCTGTGAAGCAAGCAGTGTGCTGTAACATCAACATCAGGATTTTCTTTTACTAAAATGAGCCAAAACTTGTCATGGAATGAACCGCTGATGGGGCACTAGGCATCGAGATGACAAATCTTTGGTTTTCAAATATGGAGGAGACCCATTAAATTTATATTGGCCTTTGTTTCGGGGAGGCTCCTAACAGCAGAAAAAGTTTTCTTGAATTTTACCATCATTTACAAATCTTACAAATGCTATAGCACGACAAATATCTGGGAAATATGTTGAGTCATTAACCCAGACAGAGAAGCTCCTGCTTTTCAGTTAATTACACAAAACCTCTTCAGCATCATGTGACATAAGTCAATCTATTAAATTGAGAGTAAAGTCTTTTCAATTTCATGTACTCTTTCTTGCCCTAGCATTTTAATGTTGGTGGTGTTAGATTCTTACTAACTAGGTGAATTTTTCTTTTCTGGAATAAATTCTGCTACTAAATAATTTGCTTCCTAAACCTTTTCACTGAATGTGATTTTTTTGAACAAAAGCTTTACCATTTAGACATGCCAAAAGTCATTTAAAATAATCAACGCCTTTACTTATCAAATGGCTATGATTTATAGTTACAATTGCTGGAGAAAATGCTAGCTTTGTACATTGCATTCCACAGACGATGTGCAATGGAATAGGACAGCTTGGACTGAGTCTATATAAAGCCACTGAGAAGTAGCTTTCCTTGTAAACAAACAATTTCTTTGTGTCCCTGGTAGCACTAGTATACTACAGTAACTCAGAATACTGTAATTCTTCATCACTAACCTTATCAGAAATATCTGTAGTTCTATACCTAAAATGCTTCTCTTCTATCTCACACCTTGCCTTCAAAAATTGCAGCACTGGACCGTCAGATCTGTTTGTAACAAACAAATGTTAATAAAATATAAAAACGGGCACAATAACTAAAGAAAATCACAAAAAGTACAAACACGTCACAAAACAATTCACTTCTAACCTACATGACCCATGTTTTTGCAATGTTTACAACAAAGAGGTAGGAGACAGCTGAGTTGCAACACAAAAATTCTTTCCTTAGAACTTCCCTTCGGGTTTATCTGTCACAAAGCTTGTTTGCTTGCATTAAGTCAGTCGGCAATGCAGAAAGGGAGGCTGGGAAGGTAGTCAAGAGGGACAGGCCATCATCATCCTCCTCCTACCACTCCCCTCCCTGTGCAACTGTTCACCAATTATCCACAGCTTCTCCTAGCTCACCCCAATGCATGTGAGCCTACTGCACACTGTCACACAGGGCAGAAAAGATCTCTAACAAAACTGTTAACAGGGCTGCTCAATCATCGTTCACTACCGTGAGCACAGCATTATGCAGCATACAAAGTTCAAAAATAATATTTTCAGTCAAAATTTTATATGGAATCCCAGCAACATCTCACAGAACCCCAGTTCAGAAACCCACCTCTAACACCAAATGATTTTTTTTCCTATGAGACGTCATTTCCGTTTGACTCAGATTCTTCTGTGACTTGACTTGCAAGTTCAGGCTTAGCTCCTCCCTCATTCACCACCTGAGTCTCAGATATTGGTTTTGTCTGCTCCAGCTCCTCACTATTCGCTGGTACCACTTGCTGGTTATTTGTTCCTTCTGCTGGGTCATTTTGATTTGATGTGTCACCAGATTCCAGTTTAGCTTCTCTCCCATTTCCTGCTTGTGCTGCCTGCTTTGGATTAAGCTGTGATGGGTCCTTAGCACTCTTCACCACCTCCTGGAGATTATATTTTCTGAACAACATATAATCTTTCACAACACTCAGGCAACAGACAGCTTTAATGATTTCTACTACCACTGTGTACTGTGGATTGGTAAGATCCACTTTGTTTTCTGAATTGAGGCTGCCTACTATTCCTGTAACAAAAACAATAGGGACACAGTCTGAGAAGGATACATGAAGCTTGATGGACAAAAAACAATCTTTCATCTCTTTCTGTTCGGGACTTGCTAAAGCAATATATATACTAGTCCACTCACGGTATATACACTAGTCCACTACACGGACCTCAATCAAATTCCCTGAACTTTTTCAATAAATAAATACAAATGAAATCCTGAAACATTTAAGAGTATTTTTTTTTCCCAAAGAAAATTCAATCGATTTGGAAAACACTTATTATCTAACTACCAGAAAATCTCATATCCAACATACTGAAATCATTTAGGTTGGATATTATAAGGACATTTTAATATACTTGTTCTACATTTGAAAAAGTAACCCTTAAATCTTTTAAAGACGTTCTTAAAAACAAGTACTTACCACTGCACACCAATGTAAAAGCACTAAGAAACATACCTGCCAATTCTTTGATAACTTCTTCTCTATTCATGTGACTGTTATTTCGAGATTTGTATACAATCTGAAATGTCCCTTTGTTTGGAGCTTTAAACCAGGGTTCCAAAAATGTTTCTGCATATTTCTTCATATCTTCTAAGAAAGCCTTGCATGTGCCTGAGATGGGTAACATTCGTAGAATAACCCGAGTCTTCTTCTTTTTGGTTTTGTACATATCCTGCAGAATGTGATGGACCAATTTTTCAGGTTCTAAAAGAAAAAAATCAGCACAGAGCAAACAAGAAAGAATATAAGTTCTCATTTTAAAGACTCTTCAAACTCTCTAAAATGAATTTTCAATGGCAGTGACATAAGTCAACAATAGAGTAGAAGAAATTATCATAATGAATTTAAATTAGTCTAACCAATCATTTTTTCCACCTAATATTTCTTCAGTGTTTACTATGTATTAACACTGTATCTAATACTCTACCTCTTCAGCATTATTACCGCTTTCACTAGAAACAATTGTTCATGAAGACACTGGAGTTAACATCTTTGTGATGTCTGATTTACCCAAGGACACCACTGTACCGTTGTTTTCCTATAACAATAGCAACTATCGATAACAACTATCAAAGTAACAAACATTAAATAGTACACTTTTACAAAAACAGACAAAACAAAAATCTGCAAGTCACTTAAGAAGAATTCACTAATCCATTAGCTAGAGTTGTACAGAAGTCTAGACCCCAGACCTTGGAGGAGCTCCAGAACCATGAATTGCACAAGATCATGATATCGTCCTTAGGCCACATCCTGACTACATACAAGTCCATTTTGGGCTGCTCAGTGTTTCCAATACTTTTAAATCACTTAACCACATTTAAAAATCTAGAAACTTCTCCTGATTTCCCAACTTCTGAAAAACCAGAAGATCTGGCCCTACCAGAACTACCTTCCCAAATGGCTGGAGCCATTCCAAATTAGCTGGAGCTGAGTAGCAGCTGCTCCTTTTAGACAGAACATATACTCTTGTTTTGCCTAAAGTTACATACAAAGAAAGTAGCAAAGCCAAGCTTCCACTCCTAAGCCAATGCTATGTCCACCACCCCTTCTACCTCTCCATATGCCTAGGGCTAACACAGTACAGACAGGATGCAATCAAGTGATTAACTGAGCCATGGCCATGAAGCCATTTTGTAGGCAGTGCTCTCTGAGACAGGGAGATGCCCAGACATTATAGGACCAGTAATCTTAAGGCGTATTAGTCAGACACACCTATGCCAAGTGTCCTGATGAAGACTACATTATTTGCTCCACTCTCCACTGACTGGAATCTTCTTAGCCTCATCTCCGTAGATGCCTTAAGGTCACCAACTTCTTTCTTCAAAGCAGCCTCCACGTCATCATCACCTCCCTCACTTCCAGAGGGCTGCTGATCCTTGTCTGTAAACTGTTTGCATAACATTAACAAGTAGAAACGCCACAACAGTTCATGTTAAAAGCTATAATTAACTACTTATGTGAAATCCCCAATGTCGGCACAACATCAACAATAAAACTTTTTATTAAGAGACTGAAACATCACTCCCTCCAAAATTCAGAGGAAGAAGGGAGTTCCCTCAGACTATGGTACATATAATTTTAAAATGTTTTCAAAAGCATCTTGACAGTCTGAGACAGAGGGCAATGTGCTCACTAAATGATTTCAGGGTGGACCTTAATCCCGTCACTAGATATCTTTGTGCCTGATATGACACTCTCCTCTTGGTGAGATGAGACCAAATAGTTATGGAATTAGAAACTCTTACTCCTATTCTACTGAGGAACAGGGAAGAGAAACAGCTCAAGAACTTGCTGACAGTACCAGTGTAGAAAGGACATGCACTTGTTGTCCAGTTCTCTGCCTCACCAACAGAGCTGCCAATCAGGCACTAACACAACTGTACACATTACACAGCCTTTATAATATACCGGGATGTATTTTATATACATAAGCAACCTTTTAGCTAACCTTAACAAATACTACCATTGTTCTCTTCTTTATCTAGCTCAGCAGAATTAGATAACGTGCCCAAGCCCCAGAGCTAGTAAATGACAATACCTGAATTCAAATCCCCTTGGGACGATCCTGCATTTAATTCCTTGGGGTGTTCGTGTGTGTTATTAGTCCAGACCCTAAGCCAAGAATATAATTATTTCCAAACTGTGACGGGGCAATTAGATCTTTAGGTGGTATTGGTACAAAAGTTTTTACTTTTTAAAATGTATTTATACGTGCATTTGAGACATAACTAGCACTAATACTAAACCCACTCTTCCAGAGATACTGCTTAGGACCAACACATTATCACCGCCACGGTGTTCAGATGGCGGTAAGACACGGCAAAAACCACGAGGAATGAGGTTTGCTCGTGTGAACCGGACCATCTACCGAACCTACTCGAGCCTCAGTGTCCTCGTGAACATTACGTCACAAGGATATCGTGAGGAGTAAATGTTTCTGAAAGAGCTTCAGAAACAGAAGCCCTGAGCCGCAGGAAGAAATCTAGAAAGGGGAGCCACCGTGATTCACAATGGGTAAAAAAAACCCCAAGGTGCAAGCATTGCACGACGCGAGGGGGCGGGAACCGGGGAAGACACGCCCCTTCCTCGCCACGCTCACGACAAAACCAGCGCATGCGTATACAGAAAGCCGGCCTTCCAGCCTTCCCGCCTTCCCTCCTTCCTCAAAGCCCTAATGGCCGGCCGGCCCTCCGCGAGCCTGTACCTTCTCGGGGCCGTAGACGTCGTCTCCGTACTCGTTGAGCAGGCTGTAGGCCTCCTCCAAGCACCTGCGCTCGTTCATGTTGCAGGTGATGAGAATGCCCTGTAATCCGGGTTCCAGTTGCCGGGGCCCGCCGCCGTCACAGCGTCGAGCCCGCTTGGCCGGCACATACTGAGCCTTGCCTTTGCGCTTCCCGCCGCCAGACTGAGGAGGCTGCTGGACAGGCGTCGCCATGCTGCGGGAGAGCTGAGGCTCCCGAGAATCGGGCTATCACACGGCTCTCGGCGACCTCACCTCTGCGGGCGCGGGCTGGTGACGTCAGACGTTCGCGGCGGCCTCACCAGCCCCGCCTCCCAGCTTCCTTCCGTGCTGCGCCGGTCCTAAAGCCCGTTGGAGGCTGTCTGTGGAGAGGGAGCGCGAGGCCCGCCGCTGCCCCGCCCCTCGCGAGGATTGACAGGCGTTTCTTTCACGTCACTCCCGGAAGGAGGGGTTTCCCTGGAAAGTAGCCTGTGGAGGGAACCGGACTGTAAAGTTAGATGCTGGTCTCCAAGTGGCTTTAGATCGTGCTTGCAAAGAACTGTTTCATTTACTCATTCATATTCATTGATCCATTCAGTTAATATTTATTAAGCACCTGTGCGCTAGTTATTGTCCTGAGTACTGAGGTTGAGACCATTGGCAAAGCAAGACACAGTTCATACTCACGTTGCCCTTGTAGGCTAATGTTTCCTAGAAGTCAGTGCGGCCGTCCAAACCACCCTACTTATTTTTGCTCCTATTGAAATGTGCATATTCAATAGACTTTCCCTTAGTATTCTTGTTGCAGGACCCCAAAGGTACAAAGAAAAACAGGACACGACATACAAGGAACTCGTTGAAGTTACAGACCTGATTATCAGAATGAGAAATACAAAATACAGGGAAACTGGGCCAAACTTCTTAACATTAAGTTGTCACCATGGGGACATTTTAACTTGTAAAATATATTTACATTAATACCAAAAATATTGTCCGTATCAATGTCTTCACACACTTTTGTTGGACACTGGTGTCATAAGTGATAGTGACATTTTGGTGAATTATTGTTCCAAGTGCATTTGGTTTGGACAGGAAATCACATTCCTCACTTCTGAACAAAATCATGAAAAGCCAAAACAGGGTTTGTCGTTTGTTGCCCTAGGAAGGATTATCTAAACCTTCCTAGGTAACCAGGATTACCATTTTGGTCCAGTGACCCCAAAATGTGGAGTGGATTGTAGTAAAGGATGTCAGGAAAAAAGAACCTATTATTTACTGTGAGGACTGCATCTCTCAGATTCCCATTCTTCTGACTCCCATGAAAAAGTAATGCTGATATGAAGTAATGGTCTAGAACTCCATATACATCTCAAAAAATTTTCACTAAGAGTAAAGGAAAATATTCATCTTTTCTCCAATGAAGTATACCTTGCCATTTTCTTTTCTTCATACCTGTCCCCAAAATGTTTAAGAATCCACTCAGACTGGATAAGTAAGCAATCCCTTCAGAGTTAACCTCATAATATTCCCCATACCCTTAAGTCAGGAATCCAGCTCCTTTACTTCATACGGTTAGAAGTCAACTTGACCTTTATAAATCCCTTGTCTTGGGGTTACACTTTTGACAGTGTACTGCTTTTGGTGAGCAAATGCAGGAATACTGTGCATTTTACTGACCTAGATATTTCAGTCTCACATTCTGAGATTTGTTGTCTATGGAGGAACAAAATATTAAGAGAAAAAGTAATTAGCCTGATGCTGAACTTCATGGTTAACTTGTTTTTTTCTTCATTATATAATGTGTAATGTAAAATATATATATATATATATATATATATATATATGTGTGTTGTTTGCATAACCTTATCTTTCCTTAGGTTCTTTTGCTTAAATTAGTAATATTAAGCCTTGAGTTCTTGATGCTAAGGTGTTAACTGTCCTATTCCACACTGCAGAGTAGGACAAATGGAAAACATTCATTTCTCTTTCATGGTGACCCTTCTGGCCAACTATGGAAGTGATTTCATAACAAACAGGATACTTGAGGAAGTGTTTTCCAATATGTCTTTATTTAATACTATTATTCTAGGGGCCGAAGGCAGAGAAATAACCAGATTCTATTTGCAAAAAACCAACTTCACTTGACTGTTTCTAAAGGCTTTCAGTAGTGGTAGGAGCTGGGTTGGAATATGGTGTTTAGGTATGAACTTACAGGTAATTGAAGGTTACAGTATTCTTTGTCTTCTTGTAATGATGAAGGCTTGGTTATATAGACTTTGTTTGTTCTCCTTGTTGATTGTATGATTTGGAGGAAGCTGGTTGTATGATTGTGGAGAGATTTGGATTCAGGGAGCTGTCTTTAACTTCCAGACCCTGAAGGCTCTCCCAAAGTTTTTACAAGTATCTATTTTCACCTGCCTTTCCAATACGTAATGCTGTCAGTATTGTTTGTTTTCTCAGTGTGATGGTTGAAGATGGTATTCCATTGCCAACTTCATTTTTAATTAATGAATTCTAGCATCGCTGCATATTGGTTATCTGTAATTATTTCTCAGTAAATTTTTTATTCACACCCTTTGACAGTTTACTAATTGGGTTTTTGGAGCTCCTTCAGTATTGATGTGAATCATTTGTCTATTTTACATGTTGCTAATGTTTTTTTCTGAGTCTGACGCATCTTTTAACTGTGTTTATAGTATTGTTGCTAAATGGAATAGTGTATTTTCTGAGTCTTTGCACATTCATGTAAATCTTTTTGTCTTCACTCGTGGATGAGAGATTGTCTGGCTATATAATGCTTATCTCACAACATTTTACCCCTCATCTCTATCCACACACATTGCACCATTGTATTCTAGAATTGCAGATGAGCAGTCTAATGCCAATATGACCTTTTTATTTCTTTCTTCCCAGATGCCTAGGAAATTTTATTTCTTCTCTAAATTCAAAAACTTTCTCAATATGCGTTATGGTAATATTTTTTTCTTATTATTCTTGCCTGGTATATGATGTTTTCCTTTTGATGATTGGGGCCTTCCTTCAGTTCTCGAAAGTTTTTTCTGACATGTGTTTAAGTACTGTTTCTCCAATTTGCTCTGTTCTCTCCATCAGACATGCCAATCATTCTTATATTGAAAACCTCTTCCACCTCTGGAATCTTCTGACTCATTATTTTCTCTCTTTTCCTTTATCCCTTTCTTTCTGAAAGAATTTCTCAAGAATGACTTCAACATTATTGGTTTAGTTCCCGGTAGTATAAATTCTGATCTTGACTGTTTCTAAGCTGCATTTAATCTCAAGGGAAATTTTATTCTTTTCAAAATATTTCCTCTTTATCTATTTCTATCATGCCAACCTCTCCCTTTACAGCTCAATCTCTCAACTTATCATATAATTTTTCATTTCTTGTTTCGGAGAGCAATTTCCTGAATTTTATTGAGAACACAAACACAACAGAAGCTTTCTGAAGTGTGCTTCTGTTTCCTCTAATAGAACTCTTTCAAAGACTCTTCTTCAGACTGTTACACTTAACATTTCTGTATTCATGCTATACAATCTGAAAAAAAAAGACCAAGATACATGGTTAAGATATATGTTGTTCTTATATTCACTTCTGCTTATTCATCAAGGAATAAGAAATGTATAGCCTTTTCCTATTTGTTATATATTATTTCTCCTTCATTCCCCTGAGTTCGCATCAGGTTGCTGTGTGATCTATTTCTTCTTCTTGCTCTGAAGTTGGAGAACCATGTGATGTGCACAGCCTTTAGCCAAATTTTCAGTTTAAAACAGCCAGTGATCATTAAACTTCCCAGTTTCAAAAGTCACTTATTCTTTAAAATAATAACCTGATGTTTAAGGAGACATACTGTGACTTTTTTTCCTACAATATTTAAAATTTATCCCTGGATGGGGTCTTTCTGCATTCATGACTAAAACCCTACAAATTCACCATGGCCACTCCACAGTTCCTTTCCTTCCAAATGCAGATTTCAGATCATAACTAATGCTGCATAAGGGTGTTAAAAGACTCTGAAGACTCTAGTAACTAGTTTCCATACTGGGGGAGATGTGAATTCCTTCACTCAGATGAAAGAAAGTCTAAGCTTGTGAGATTTCTTGAAATATTTTTCCATGAATGGCTCCACCACTATACCTATAGGTTTTAAAGGTTTAACTCGTGGAAGTTCTTCCCGTTTTCTAGCAGTTCATTGTATAATATTCCTGGTTCTTAGTGCTATTGAAATTCTCCATCTCCTCTTGAGTTTTTATGTCTGTGTGAGTCTGGGGAATGGCTCATCAGAAAGCACCGTCTTTCTCTGATCATGACTCTGAGCTATGTAGTTTGTGATTATGTCACTTTGCTGCATAAAATCCTTTAAGGGTTTCCAACTGTATATAGTGTCAGGTATAACAGCCTCAGAATAGCATGTGAGCTCTTTACAATCTGGCATCAACCTATCTTTTCAGCTTCATGTGTATTCACTTCCTGCCATATATCTCAAACTCTCACCATACTAGACTATTAATCTCTTTCTCCAGACCTGCCAGGTAATTTCAGACCTTTCTACTTCTGCTTGTATACTGTTCTTTCTGCCTGAATTCCCTCTCAGTGGGAAATTTATATTTATCCTTCAAAGTGGAACAGAAATAGCATCTCCTTTTTGTCGTATTCCCGGATGCCCAAAGCAAAATTAATTATACCAGTCTCTGTGGCCCCATTGCTATGCTCTAAATGTTGTGTCCCCCCAAAATTCATTTGTTAACTCCTAATGCCCAATGTGATGGTATTGGAGGTGGGGCCTTTGGGAGGTGATTAGGTCATGAGGGCAGAGCCCTCAGGAATGGGATTAGTGCTCTTACAAAAGAGGCTTCAGGGACCCCTCTAGCCTTTGTCTCAGGGAAATTATCTTCTAACAGATCACTGAATTTTTCCTCCTTTTATTACCTCTGTTCTCTGCCTCCAGAACCCCAATAAAAGAAATGGCAGACATCTATGCTGCTTCATATTTCTCTTATACATTCCATTATTTTGCCTCTGGCTCAGGTCTGCAAGATTCCATTGACTATCACCAGATCACTGACATGGTTGTTAACCATAGCCATTCTCTTATTTTCTTAATTAAGAGAATTAATTAAAATAAATTATTTTAATAATTTTAAAATATCTTTCGTTACCAGGTACTCATTTTTGTTCTCTGAGTGCTCCTTTTTTGCAGCAGCAGTTGGTTCTTACTTATGTATGTGCCATCTTTCCAATCTCACTAGAGTCATTTATTAATCTTTTAAAATTGTTTTGTTTCCTGAATGATCTTTATT